TTCCTGCATGCAGACAAGCCGGTAGACTTGGGGTTTGTTCGAGGCAACGAAGAGATGCTAGAGGCATCACCCATATATATATGCTGCACCCCGGAATTATTATCGCCACAAACGGGTTGTACTTTCCTTGTCGTTGTTGTAGGCAATGACGTTGCTGGGTTTGAACTACGCTTCTTCCGCCATTGCTCAATCTTTTCCTCTGTAGTCATGGAGCGTCCAAAATTTGATAAGAGTGATGGTCCTGTCCAAGGCTCAAGTTCCACATTCTTATGTTTGAGGTCGGCTGGTAAGGTTGCAGATCGTGTAAGTGGTCTTTGTACAAGTTGCGGTATTTCCTTGGGGATTCCTGGTGCGCGTAAGAGTGGCGCTTCTACTTCTTTACATCTTCCCTGCGGGATTGCTACTGTTCGAACTAACGGACTTTTCACCTTTGACTTGCCCTGTCTGATAATTTCGAGCATCGCTTCGCCCTTGGGAGCAGTGGTTAGATTCTCATAGCCTCTCGCGGTTATCAGAATATCATCTTCGATGCGAACTCCGCCCACAGGTAAGTAACGTTTCAGTGCTTCAGTGTTGATGAATTTCGAATGGACCGGCGACGGGAGATAGAAGTGCTGCAAAGCGTAGGCCGAGAAGTAGATGCCAGGCTCGACAGTCACCACCATACCTTCCTCGAGATGGCTGCTCCGAGGATCTGCTGGCGCGCGACATGTTTCGGGATTATATACTGGACTGTGAAAGTTTTCTGGGTAGAGAGAAGGTGCCTATGGAGTATTAGCAGCTGCCCAAGCATGTTGCGCTTTTCCAACTAACCTGTTGAGTGACGAGTTTGCCTCTTCGGATGCTCATCAGATCTGCTTGGCTCGGGTCATGTACTTCTAAGCCGATGTGATGTCCCAACCCGTGTGGAAAGAAGGCTCTACTTGTGCCTGCTTTGTAGATTTCTTCTTTTGTTCCATTATGCAGGATTCCGAGCTGCAGCAGACCATCGATCGCAATTTGATGCGCCAAAATGTGCAGGTCTAGATATCTAACTCCAGGACCTAATCTTTCGATGCACGTGTCCTGCATGCGTTGAACCAGCTTGTAGACGTTTTTGGCTTCTTTGCTAGGCCAAGAAGCAGATAGAGGGAAAGAGCGCGTAATGTCGCTAGCATACAGCTCGTACTCACAGCCAGCATCTAAGCACATGAGTTGTCGACCGGCAAAGCTCTCATTGTTTGCATCATAATGCAGAGTACCTGCATTCGGTCCAGATGCGGCAATGGGGTCATAGGCTTGTTGTTTGGCCTGACGTGATATACACACATCCATGAAGAGGCCTTCGACTTGGGCTTCGTTGTTGAAGCTGAGGATGTTCTCAAGTACCTCTCGATGCGCCTGTGAGCTGATATCATTCGCTTTGCGGATGAGGCCGATCTCATGGCTGTCCTTGATCATGCGACACATGTTCATGGCTGGTTGAAGAGAATGAAAGTCGGTGCGAGGGACAAGATTATCGCAGCCTGGTACCCGCGAAGATGGATGCAAGACGTAAACGCCGGCGTGGCGATTGACGTGGGCCCACTCCTGAATGACATACTGTAGCTCGTCTGTGTAGAAGACTTGGTCAATGTCATATTTAGCGAGCGCTTCTGCTCGAGTGGAGCCACGGCCATTCCAGATGATGCGCGCAGGATTGATGCGTGGAATGAATAAAGTTAGGACATCGCGTTGGACGTCGTAAGCCATGTGGCAGTCAGGTTCATTACATCTTGCCACTATCAGCACGTGAATGAAACAGTCAGTGACTTGGGCGCAACGCACCCGCTCAAGTAGTAAAAGTATCGTCGCTGGCGAAAGGGAGCTGGCATGTCGCTATCTTCATTGTTCCTCGCCGGTTGGCCTGGAAGGTAGATCAAGCCATGCTCGATGCCCATCTTTTCTTGCACGCGCCGCGCATGCTGTTTGGCTGAACAATGTTGGTTAGCATGACGCGCAACAGGTCGAAAAGCTACAGTGTTTACCTGGGTACTTATCGAACGGCGTCTCGGCCTCGAGGTGCAGCCAGTAGTCTTGGTCCTCACACCTGAGGCGTTCGGCAAGATTGGTCGCGTCGAGAACTTGCATGGCTGCACCTTTTTCCGACCTGCAGAAACACTGCGAATGCAAAACTTGTCGCATCGGCGGAGGCGCGGTCGCTCTATTAGTGCTGTGTGAGCTGCTCACCGGTGAAGCCCCCGAAACCGTGCAGGCGCCAAGATCCGGTCAAGTAATCCGTGCAGCAGCACCGGTTTTTCTTTTGAGGTGCTCAAAACGATTCTAGTCCCACTGTGTTCGTCGGGATTGCACACCATGTGCTGATACTGTTTTTATGCCACCGAGGGGCCGCGAGTGAGGGGTGAAGGCAATGGCGAGCCCGACGATGAGACGTCGTCGGTGTCGAACCGTATTTCTCGTCATGTGCTCTTGTCCGACCCCGCCCCTGCAATTCCCCAGATGCATCGTGTGTGCGACATCGTGGCCTGGTGGTATTTGCAGCTCAGCTGGGCGCCGACATCATCTTAACAGCTATTGATAGGTGACACGAGGTGGATGACACCTGTTTCGGGTCCATTAGGTAGTTGGAGTGAAGGGATTGCCATTTGGCGGCCGAGAGGCTCTTCCATTGGTCAGCCTGTTGACCGGTGGCTGACCGCGGCTTTCCGTTGCATTCACAACATCGAACATCGCAAATTGGCACAAAATATGGGCAAAGCTGGAGAGTGCCGCTCGACTGTGTGACCTTTTCCCAGCAAAGTTGCCAGAGGGGCATGCTCACCGACAAGGTGCAGTGAGGGTCGAGTAGCGGCGACGAGGCGGTCAACATCCTTGTGTCTTATAAGGGCAACTTTTTATACCATGATTACCCCGCAAATCCTGGCTTGTTCACATCAGCTCCACGCGTTTCCCAAAAGCGCTGTGTGTGCAGAAACACAGCGATGAGCACCAATCCGCTCATTTCGTTCACTGTTCAAAGTGCCGTAGGAGGCGCATGAACACAGGACATCTTTCAAGCTAGTGTGCTTTTCGACAGCAATACACGCTACGAATATCGAGGTGAGATGTAAAGAGCCCGTAAGATCTCGTTATCATTTACGCTAAACTGAACAAGATTATGCTCGGACATGCTGTACATATGCAAACGCACCACCAAGGCCCTAACCACCAATCTTTTCACCATACAGCACCCGCATATGCGGCATTGTATTGTTCGTCAGTTTCAGATACATCACTATCATCATCATCATCACCATATTCTTCTTCTTCTTCTTCTTCTACGTCGTCGTCGTCTCCTTCCTCTTCATCATCCTCTTCCTCTTCCTCTTCCCCACCATCTATATCCTCATCGCCATCCGAATCATCGCCATTAGTGTGTGATAGTCCAGGCTGCCGGTCCACAAAGACTTGTTCCGCCAACTCTTCCCAAAACTTGTCCATTCCCTTTCCAGTGTGTTCTTTGACCTTAAGCGGCTTAGCGCCCTCCTTTTCCCTAAAGTCCACACGCGAATGGTCCTGCTGCAGCATACCGACTTTGAGGTGAGTGAGGTTGAGCTGGGGGATCCTCGAGACCTTATTAAAGAAGTCTCTCCAAAAGTTTGGCTGGTGACCCATGGGTATGTGGGTAAAGCTATGAATGTTCATTCTCCAGAGACTGAGAGCCTCTAACGTTGGCGCGAATTTGGCAATGAGTGAGATGAGAATATCAGCCCTGATGCTCTGCTGGCCTAGTTCAAGGGTTTTGAGGAATGGTAGAGCGATTGGGTCAGGGTGAAGGAATGAGACAGGCATCGCTGGGGGTGGTGGTGTGCTTAGCCACGATAGGAAGGCCTCGTTATTAGCGACCAAGTGCTTCTCAAAGTTCAACCGCAGATGTGTCAGGTTGGGCGTGTGTCTTAGGAAATGTCGAAGTGAACGGCCTGGATGCAGATCGGCTGAAGTGCCGTTGCTGTGGGTATGCAGAAGGCGTATAGCCAGGCTGACATTCAACAAAAGTGTGGTCATGTTGCGCAAGACCGGCTCGATTGTTAGTAGAAGGAAGTCTGGAAGAAAAAAAGCCGAATCGAGCAGTCCATGTTGGCGAAGTAGCACCTCGAATTGCGGAGGCTGTCGACTGGCTCTCCCCAGGGCATATAGCACACTGGAGAAGATGCGGGACACAAAGCGCGTCGTGATTTCGGGCGAGTATGACCCCCGATCTGCAAAGCTCAGCCGGACTCCTGTCTCACGGTATACTGTTGTAGCACCCCAGGATGACCAGCTCTTCCCATCGCGAGTCCGCTTATTAGAGTCGAAGTCGCGAATACCAACAGTTTGGAGGTTTTCCAGCCGCGAGAATGCCTCGGAGAGCATCTCGCGGTCTACGCCTGTACTCAACAAGGCCTTTTGCTCTTCGTAGCCTTGAATGTATTTAGCAGCCGCCTCTTCATCCCTAAAGCGCAGCGGTATTTCCTCGTAGACATTGGTGGCAATGATGACGTGGGTCAGCTTCTTGGAGAAGCTGGCGTGCTTGGAAATATCAACCAACGCCTGCAGGCTTGTATGCGTGAGCATAAACTGCTTCTTGGTGAAGAACTCTTGCGAGAACCATTCGTAGAGGGACTTTTCTGTTTGTTTGCAGACCAGTCGCAGGGCGCCGAGGTCTTCAGTCGGTAGAAGGGCTGAGATTGCAACGAGCAACTCGAGCGGTATTGTGAGAAGCGATGCCATTGTGGGGGATCAATGACTGGAATGGAGTCGGACTGGGCAGCGCCAGTGTGTGTCTTGCTTGGCCTTCTTATCATGTGGTAGCGCGTCGACGCCGCGCAGGCAGACATGGCGAGCTAGTCCATTTAGGGGCTGATGCCTAAGGGTGCTACCTTCGCGCGCGTCACTCGTCTGGTCGGACGCCTGATTGATTTCCCCAAAGGATTCAAATAAAGGCGCTCGTCGCTGCTGCTGCTGAAAACTACATCACATTTTCCAATCTTCAATTCGCACCAATGCCTCGTAAAGCTGCATCAAAGGCCGCCCCAAAGGCCGCACCACCGCTGGATGGATGCTCCGTCGCTACATCTGGCCGCTTCCCGGGAACATCACAATCCGCACTTCAGTCGCGTCTTACGTCACTGGGTGCTACGATTGCATCAAGTGTCACGGCAAACACGACCCATCTCATTGCAACTGAAAAGGACTATGAGAGCAACTCGACCAAGACCAAAGCTGCCGCTGCCCATGACGTGCCTGTAGTGACCATTGAATGGCTCGACGAATGCGAGTCCAAAGGTACGCTGCAACAACACTTTGGCAATGCTGTCTCATGAGACCTTTTCGAAAGAAGAAAATAAAGTGTTGAGGTTGACGTTTGGCGCAGGCTCTAAGGTAGATGAAACGCAGTACTTGCTGTCGTCTGGCGCTGCTCCTGCGCAGAGGAACGGTTCAAACAAACGGCCTGCCTCTACTACTCCTCCAGCACAATCTCAAGAAAAGAAACCCAAGATTAAGGAAGACGCCAAGGTAGGAGATGGCCAGAATGCAAAATCAAAGACAATTGCCATCTCCATAGACGAATATTGCCCTCTTGGAAACTATCAGGTCTACATTGACTCTAATGGCACTATATACGATGCATCGCTCAATCAAACCAACGCCAGTGCTAATAATAGTAAGCAATATGTCGAGACCAAATTTCTGTAATACATATTCTAACCCTGTATTCATCTGTGCAGACAAGTTTTACAAATGCCAGGTACGTTCCTTTGATTGTGAAAAGCCCTGGACTCGGCTGATAGACGTAGCTTCTTGTCAATGGATCAGACTATAAAACTTGGGTGAGCAGCACTGCCTCAAACTGGATTTTCTAAATGTGTTATGAACTAACCTCCTTCGCCAACCTTCAGACTCGCTGGGGCCGCGTTGGTGAGCGTGGGTCGAGCGCCGTGTTGGGCAGTGGCAGCTTATATGACGCCAAACGGGAATTTGAAAAGAAGTTCAAGGACAAGTCAGGTCTCAGATGGGAGGATCGCAGTGCAGAACCAAAGGCAAATAAATACGCATATGTGGAGCATTCGTACAACCCTGACTCGGATGATGAGGACGAGGACACAGGTGCGAATGCGGACGACGAAAACAAAGATGCTGTCAAGCCCGCCGAGTGCACGCTTGACAAGCCTACACAGGACCTTATGAAGCTCATCTTCAACCAGGTAAGCATGAGTGTTGTTTCGTTTGGTTACCAGATTACAGGCCATAAAGACCTAAAGCTCACACAAAGTAGGATTATTTCGATGCCACCATGTCTGCCCTCAATTACGACGCAAACAAACTACCACTGGGCAAGCTCAGCAAGGGAACAATTGCTCGTGGTTTCCAAGCCCTGAAGGAGCTGTCTGTGCTTCTAGACAACACCGATGCAGCATCGCGAGCAGAGGTAGAACGTCTGTCCAACCACTACTTTTCAGTGATCCCCCACGCCTTCGGCCGCAACCGTCCGCCAGTCATTCGAGACAACGACGCCCTTAAGAAAGAAATTGAGCTACTCGAGAGTCTGTCAGACATGAAGGAGACTGCCGCCATGCTCAAGAGCCAGCTGAAGGACGATAGCGGCATTCACAAGCTCGACAAGCAATTCCAGGGTCTCGGTATGGAAGAGATGACACCACTTGACCACAAGAGCCAGGAGTTTGTCGAAATCGACCAGTATCTCAATTGCTCAAGAGGACATACGCATTCAGTCAGTTACAATGTCCAAGATATCTTCCGCATCGAACGCAAGGGCGAATTCGAGCGGTTTGACAAGAGCAAGTTCTCCAAGATTTCAAGCAACCGTCGTCTCCTATGGCACGGTTCCCGTGTTACTAACTGTAAGTCCTCTTTAATTCCGTACATTCCGTAAACCAGCCACTGACCTAGTGCAACTACAGTTGGTGGAATCCTCAGCCAAGGTCTCCGCATCGCACCTCCCGAAGCCCCCGTATCAGGCTACATGTTCGGCAAAGGTATCTACCTCGCCGATATGTCTTCCAAGTCCGCAAACTACTGCGCCTCGTACAACTCGGGTGGCACTGCTTTGCTCCTCCTTTGCGAGGCTGAGTTGGGTAACCCGATGCACCAGCTCACCAATGCCTCGTACACTGCTGGTGAAGATGCGATCAAGAATGGCATGTATAGTACGTGGGGAATGGGCTCAACAGGCCCGAGTAAGTGGAAGGATGCAAGCTGCATCAATCCTGCGCTGAAGGGATGCTCAATGGTAAGTTTGACGCTTTTCTGCCCCTTTTTTTGATCCCCTGAAAACTGACGAGTTAAACAGCCCGATGTATCGACTCCGCCTGGCAAGACGAATGTGGCTGGAGCATACTTGATGTACAATGAGTACATTACGTATGATGTTGCGCAGGTGAAGCTGCGGTACTTGCTCCGTGTCCGCATGTAGACTTTTACCTCTGCATATTTTCCAACTCATATCTCATTTTACGCCATCGTTTTTCTGGTATGCAAAAGGCGTTGAGTGTGGAAAGGCGTTTCCGGTCAAAAAGGGGGTCATACTTCTTCCCTTTTAGTTAATGACGAATTGAAGCGATTAAAAATGGCATAAGTGTATTCGTTCAGTCACGTACGTGAATTTGGCTTTGGGGGGCCCGGTATAAACATAAAGCAAATCGTCAAACGCCCATGCGAAGCATCGTATCTCAAAAAATGTCACAACATACACAATCGTCTACTCGCGTCCGCCAACACGCCTCTCATAGTCATCAGCAAGTCGAGACGCATCCACGACCTCGACGCCTTTACCCAGACCCACCATATCAGTGACCTGCCACCACCTGACGGTATGCTCGTTCTCCTTGCCCTTGCGCAGCGGCCCCTCATCATCGGTATCGACGAGGCCGCCCAAGCCCGTGCCATCGCCACCAACAACGACAATCGTCTGGCCAACCCACTTCCTCACATCCTCGATATTCTGGCCATTGACGCCGCTCAGCGCATCAACCACGTACACGAGATCCGGGCTAATGTGGCGCAGCATGTGCACGAAGCCCGTCGTGGTGCTAAACGGCATAACCATTGCGGGGTCCTCGACGAGGCGCAGGGCCTGCGAGTGCAGCGTGTTCCAGAGCGCGGTATCGGAGTCGCGGGTGCTAGGGGCAGGCGTGTACACAATGGGGTCGATGGAGGAGAGTTCCTCGCCTGGGGTGCGCGCGGGCGTGCTGATGGCAGAGTAGGAGCCGCCGAGGGAGGAGTTTGCGCGGGATTGGGGGCGAGAGCGGAAGGTGGGGGAGTAGACGAGGACGAAGAGATTGATGCGGGAGAAGTCGGTGTCGGGGAGGTGGGAGAGGATGGTCTGTTTCGAGTTAGTGATTGGCATTAGGTACGAGAGGAGCGTGAGGAGGCTGACTGCAGTCTCTTCGCGGTAGGTGGCGGAGTCGTCGAAGTGGTTTTCTGAAAAGCTTTCTGCGCTGACGACGAGGACGACGGTTTTGCGCTTGCCCCAGTTCTTGTCTTCGATCTTGCGCATGCTGGCCGCGAAGCTCTTGGTTTGCGCGTCTACGGCGGCGGCGCTGTCACGACTCTGGGCTTCGACATTTCTCCTCAGGGCTGCCTCCTCGCTCCATCGTGAGTGGTCGCCAAAGGCCTCGTCCTTGTCCTCCTCGCGGATCGAGGCCAGGGCAGCGCCGGCAGCAGCGCCGGCAGCCGCCCAGCCGGCCGCCGTCTTCTTGCTCACGGTATCGAAGAACTGCTGGGGCGAGGGTGTGCGGCGGATGACTCCCTGAGCGCGGCCAAGCAGAGTGGCATCGTTGCTGTATGCTTCACCGCCCACGCCCCCGGGCCCCAGGTCACGGCCCATGGGCGCCCTGCCATTTCGCCTGTCGTGGGCACTATCTTCGCCGTAGCTCAGATCATCGTCTGAAGAGTAGTCTTGCCCGTCTTCGCGCGCGCTCCACACCCATGCCGCCAGGCCAGCTGTCGCGACAGTCACGGTCAGGATCAGAGGAACATAGAAGCCTAGGGCGCTGCGGTTGCGGGAGCTCGACTGGCGACGGTCGTAACGGTCGTAATTGAAAGACGACATTCTCTAGGTCATGTCGCTATGGAGAGTTTTGGTCTTCTGTTGTAGCTTGGATTCCTGCAGTTGTTGCTTTTTCTTTTAGGGGCGTGAGTTGTTTTGTTTCAAGCGTCAGCAGTGCAGAGCTTCCCTGTTGTTGTGGGTGGCTGGGGAAAACGCAAGGCTGATGCTTGACACATGCGTTAGCGGCCCGAGGCTGTTGTTACGAGTCATGTCGGCTTTTTGACGTAGCGGGGTGACTCTTACACACCCCCACTCCATTCCTCTGTACCTGCAGCAGAGGAGTCAGCAGACTGTCTACCTACACATACTCCGGGATATACAGGCCAAGGCGACTGTCTTCTTATCGATTGGGTCACTGCGAAAATTACTGGACCCCATACCCGGCCAGACCTACACCAAGACACACATCCAAAATTATTCGACAATGCCGCACGCGACGAGTCTTCCCCCACCGGGCTTCCAGGCTCTCATTCTCTGCGGTCCTGGAGCCTCATTTAGTACCTTCACATCCTCGCCGAAAGACATACCAAAGGCCCTGCTGCCCATCGCCAACCGGCCTATGGTCTGGTACCCGCTAGAATGGTGTTATCGTATGGGAGTAACAGGTAGATTGCTAGGGAAAAAAAGATGACGAAGTAGTATATGGCTGACAATACGCAGACATCACAGTCGTTACCCCGCCAGAGTCACTAGAAGCCATCGAGGCTGCCATGTCGCAAAATCCACATCTCACAACCCTCCCTTCACCGAAACCAGACATTCTTGCGCCTAAAGGCCTCTCGCACCAGACTAGTACCGGTGACCTCTTCCGACTACCAGAACTACAAAGCGCTATCAAGGGCGACTTCATCGTACTTCCTTGCGATCTCGTATGCGAGCTGGACGGCACATCGTTGGTGGACGCATGGATGATCGAACAGGGCGGATTTGCGGGCGCAAGCGGAGGATTAGATCACAACGGCGGCAAGATCGCCTATGGTGCTGGAGGAGAAAAACTAGGACGAAGAGGTGGAATGGGTGTATGGTATGAAACCAAGGGCGAGGGCAGCAGAAAGAAGGAAGAGACCGACTTCATTGCGACAACACCTTTGCCCAAGCCAATCGTCTCCGTACCCACCGACTCATTACGGCGCAACATCTCCAAACTTGTATACTCGGTTCCCACAGACACTCTCAACGATATTACTGAAGAACAAAAGACGTTTCCCCTTCGACATTCACTCATCAGAAAGCATGCTCGGATAAGGATGTTGACGACACACCGCGACGCGCACATTTATATCTTCCCCTACTGGGTTATGGAGATGATTCGTAAGAACGAAAAGTTTGAGAGCATAAGTGAGGAAGTTATGGGTTGGTGGGCAAAAGCAAGCTGGCAAGACGGACTGGGTGAGAAGCTGGGTCTGCGGCAGATATTGCAAGAAGAGAATGAAGAGTCGGATCACGGATCCCAGATGGTTGAGGAGGATATCGATGTTTCCAAGTTCAGCACCACATACTCTGGAAATAATGCAGAGAACGAAGAGAGCTCGACTACCGCGTTAGCGTCAAGAGTCACGAGATCCTCAAGCATACCCGACTCCGCAAAGTCACTCACAGCAAACTCGAAACTTACCGTCCCGCCGATTCTCGCATACGTTCAGCCTTCAGGTCCCAATGAGCCTCTTATCCGCCGTGTTGACGACTCCCACCTCCTGTTGACCATCTCCCTCCGCCTCGCCAAGCTGCCATCGATTGAGGAAGTTGGCAAAGAAGCTGCTTCACCATTTGCCCACCAGTCCAAGATTGCACACAAGGAATCCATCCCACGCAAATGTCGAGTAGAGGTAGAGAACTCGCTCCTCGCTGATAACGTCATTGTTGAGGAGAAGACCAATATCAAAGAGAGCGTCATTGGCTCCAACTGCAAAATTGGCGAGGGCGCAAGGTTGCTGAGATGTTTGTTAATGGACGGCGTCGAGGTCGGTCCAAATGTCCAGCTCACCGACTGTATCCTCGGTAGACGGTGCAAGATGGAAGGTGGAGATGCGAAGGACGGCGATAAGACTGTACTCAAGGACTGTGAAATACAGGATGGTCAGGTAATTGAATGGGGAAGTAAGTTGACCGCCTTTTTTCTCAACTACATTCGCAAGAGTGGAATGCTAACGAATGCGCAGCTGAGGCCAAGAACGAAAAGTTTATGCGCTTCGATGTGGGTGACGATGTGGGTAGCGAGGGCTTTGGTGGTGATGAAATGGATGGTGATGCGGGTGATGATGAGGGTATCCCATTGCGGTAAAGGATATGTCGGTTGTATAGTCGGTTGTATAAAAGAAGATCAAAAACACATGACGTTTATGAGCAAGTCGATTGTGGTATTCACGAAAGGTGACTGGAGAGACTGATCATCATACCCCACCAGTTGACGATACTGAACCTGCATTTATGATGGTTAATGAATCTGAAAGTCGCCAATCTACCAGCTTTGAGGGATAGCACAAAGTTTGACCGTAATCTAGCTCGTGCGTGTATGACTTTTCACTTTCACTCGAGTCCGGGCAGCCAAGGTCACATGCACCATTCCTCTCTCACTGTACTTACAGATCCATAGGCATCAGTGAGCCTTTGTTTGCCTTCCCCTTCTTAAATCATTGACCTAGAATTTTGTATCAATTCCAACTCATCAGACAGCATCATGAAGTTCAGCACCGCCATCAGCACAGCAACTTTCATCTTCCTCGTCACCGCCCGAGTAATCAAACCACCTTCAACATCCCCCGACGACTTCCAACTCACCACCGCCTTCTGGGACGACGACTACGCCTCGCCCAGCGAATGGACTACCTACACCACCAAAGGCGGCGCCCTCATGTGCGGCCTGACGGGCTCCGACGAAACCGCCGGCTCCCTCCTCCAAGACACACACAACCCGCCCTCAGCCGCCAGCCCCTTCACCAGCGACCTCAAGTCGGAGCTTCAAACCTGGCACTGGCGCAGCGTCAACCCTGCCTCTTTCAGCTGCAGCTTCTCTACCCACTGGAACTTCCCACATGCCATGCACTCGTTGGGTTTAAGCGGCACATCAGCCGCCCAGGGTGGCGATAATCACTGTTATAGAATCGAGCATTGGGACCCGGAGATGCAGGATGAGCGTGGAAATCAGGTACCTGCAATAAATCAATGGTATAGTGTTCCTGGGGTGGAGAGGCAGTATCGTGTAAGTTTTCCCCCCTCTCCTAAACAATCTTTCTCAAGAAAAAGAGAGAGAGAGAGATAGAGGGAAGAAAAAGTTTGGAATATGGGGAAGAGATTAATAAGGAGATAGGCGACGAAATCCCACTACGAATTCGCCATCAATACCATCGGCGGCGCCCTCTACGGCCTCTTCCTCGAAAGCCCCCAGTCCGCTGCCCGCACCCTCTGGTACGCGGGCAAGCGGTCCCCGAACCGCGAAGATCTACCCGCCTTACGTGCCTTCTCGGATATTCTCTGGGGATACTGGGTGCGCGACAACGCGCACGTGGGAAACGTACGGTTTTTCTTCATGATAGGGATTTCGAATGATGTTACGAATAGGCTTATTGCGAGTGCGTTACGGGATGCGGGGAAGACGTTGGTGGAGTGGCCCGGGGTGGAATTTGGGATGGGAACGGAGCAGGGCAAGGCATTGTTAGGTATGTGTTGTTTTTCTACTGTTTCTTACTAGGTTGAAGTTATTTGGGTGAAGGGGAGAGAGACAGTGTGTGCTAACGGGGGGAAACAGGATCACCCAACGGAGCAGCCTTTGCGTATTTTCTCATGCAGCATAAGGCGCACTTGGGGCAAAAGGCTATCACGAAGGTTACGGTTTTCCGGCCGGAGAACGATGACGATGTGGATTTTGTGGATGCATCCTTGTGCTTTCATGTTGCGGATTGGGGACAAGCGGTTGGAGAGGAGATGGAGAGACACATTGTGAGTAGGAATGTAGCGGGCGATGTTGCGAATAGGAGTTTGACTAGGGTGCATAAAATTCATTCCTAGGGGAAGGTAGGGCAGTGGATAGTGTAAGAGGTGGTTTCCAGTGTGATTACTGTGAGATAGTCCACGAATGACGTTTTCACTAACTTTGATCTTGATTGGCAGGCGAAGTGACGAGTTTGGGCATTCGTGCATTCTACTCCGTATAACCGTGGTCACTGGATACAGACCGGATACTTGAAAGCGGAAATGGGTCACTGTTAGATGTGCGGTGGGTGCCGTGATCAAAACTGGAGCAGGTGGGTATTCAGGCCCGTGCTGTGGCTGTCCCGCTGATTACAGAGCGGGTGCCTTGAGGCAAGCCTGAGTCACTGATATGTAGATCCTTAGTAAAGTTTAGAGCAGACAAGTAGCGTTTCCAGGCATGTGATGTTGATATCTCCTAGATATGGGCCGGGTGGTTGAAAACGGGATTCGGTCACCGATACTTGCATCGTGATCCGGGTTGAGGCGGGCGGGTACCTCGGCCTGTGGCTAAGCAGTCTTTTAAAGTGTTGATTACTAGTATCATGGTTCTAGACGCGCAGCGCTTGTTGACAATTTCCACCTTGGATGGAGGATCCAAGTGGCGTGCAATACGAAATTACGCAATGCTGCATCAACCGTATTTCTGAAAATTCTCGAGGGAACCGGTGGCCCGATATCAGGCGTCCAAAGCCGTAGGTTCGTCTCGTGTCAACTCGATGTCTTTTGTTCTGCTCCCTTTCAGCGAGCATCTCGGAGGCTTCGGGAGGTTGGTATGTGGAGCACCATGGAAAGAAGGATGCAAGCCAAGTTGTCGTCGGACAGTTCTTGCACGTGTCCTCGTTGCCCAGTTCATGCCTAGGTCATGCCTACTGCATTTCACACCTGAAGTGACCCCTACATCCTCTCTACGCCTTCTTCTTTCTGCATGACTAGCTAGGCGCAACTGTGACCAGTTTTCCGATCTGCGTTTTGTATCCCGGTTTAGAACCAAATACGGACGTAACCGTTGATTAACCCTTGGCGGAACCCCACTATTCGGCCAAATTACTGTAAACTGTGAATTTTGGTTGGACCAAGGCAGTAAGTAGGATTCAACTAGGAAATGTCTGAAAAGCCCGGTGTTTGAGACGATCAACTGGTATCCGGATTTGGGTGGGAGATGGTGTAGCGCGAACGATTAGCTTTTTGAGGCTCAAGTTTACCGTGTAATATACGTCGTCATGTAAGCAAGATTGGCAAGTAGTTCCCGTAAAGCTGAAACTCTTGTGGCTGACGTTTCATAGAGTCTGATTAGCCTGGAAGCTCCGTCGCGTTTGTTTCGTGACGAAGGACCTGGTCGTCGTGGGTGACCGCGACTTCCTTGTAACATCAAGTTTAGTATGGCTACTGCCAAGGCAATCGCAGCAAGTAGGGCAAACTTCGGTCCTTGGTTGAACAGTCCCTGGTTGAACGGTCCCACAGCAAAAGTGGTGTGAGTTTTACTCCAGGGCCCTGGTTGCCTTGTAGTTAGGGGTGCGTGGTGTTGAATCGAATAGGTGTGGTAGCTAATACCGCAGTTTGTATGTAAAAAATTCGCATTAGTGCTGGCAAAAGGTCTTATCAGTAATAGGTACATCCTAGAGGGTCACTTGGCGACTTCGTCAGCCACAGGACCGAGGCCGTGGATTCCAGACCCGAGAATGAGGGCTGGACAAAGGACGGTGGATGAGACGAGTTTGCGGGGTAGTAAGGACAGAATAGTTCAGTCTCCGCTATTCCCGGTGTGTGATTAACACGTTTTGCGAGGCTCAAAAACGTTAAGACCCCCTGTTCCTGTTGTCTCGGGACGATCTTATCAACGGTGTTATGGTGATCAAACCAATCAGGAGTAGGACAAGGAATCACGTTCGAGGTCACTTGACTCGCGGTTTTGGGTCTGGCCGAATACCACGTCTGTCGCAATACATTCCTTTACGGAACGAGTGAACGGTGTGCGTGATTGCACGATTGCGCAGTCCCGGGGCATACTGAAGTTATCTTATCTCTTTTCTTTACAGCAGACACAATGTGTAGTGCAATAGTGCGCAACTCAGAAAAGAGATTGACTTTTCCAAGTCCCATTCAAAATTGGGTTGGTGTACTTACAATGATACATGAGGACCGCAATTAGCAATCACCAAACTGAGCTTTTGCGCCATTCCGAATTCCGAGGCTGTGCACCCTAAACTTTCCTATTCTATGCAAGTATCCCTGTTTCGTGTTGACACCACCCTTACAGTAGCGTGGTGGCAAGCATTGCAGACCGAACAACCCCTTCCTTGGTAGTTCCTCAACAACGTCCCGGAAATATCTAAGGCCAAAATCAAGGTTTGATTGGGTTGGTTTCTTCAAGCCTTGCGAGAGCTGCTAAAACGTTCCTCTAACACTAGATCCTTCACACACGTGGATTTACTATCACCAGTTAGATTACGCCCGTAATTTCGGGTCTGGGGTTACTATGCCAAAACCGTTGGGAACTGGCGTGTGTAGGAGCGGCTGTACCCGGTCGAGGGATGCATGCTTCGTATTTTGTGCAGTATCTTCGCCGTCTTGTGGTCAAGCTGGTATGGTCATGTCACATATCTTGACGAAGAGTCTGCAAGACCTTGTTTCATTGGGGAAGTCTGTTCACCCCTTCCTATGTCTTTCGCTGTAGAAGTGACGGAAGTGTGTGTAATTACGAATACTCTCCATAAATTCGCATTTTGCAATGGCTACTGCATTCACCATGGGTTGTATGGGTGGCGACGATACACTCTCTGAATCTAATCCAGGATTTCACCGAAGCCTCCGAGGTGGTGTTCTTGGCACCTCTGACATGAGGCCATAGAATTGCGCTAACATCCCCGTACTAATTCAACATGTGGGTCGCATGCGCCAATGGTTGCGGCGATTGTTGTGTTTCTAATGCATGTCCCTCCGTCTTCACCATGGCGTTCACTGTAAACTAGTTGTATCAAAACCTGAATTATGTGGACTCCCGTGTGCCAGAGATAATCGCGGGTAGGGATGATCGGATGTGGCTGGAACAGCCGCTGGATATAACTTGGGATCCTGCCTTAATGCCCCAGTGGGATAGAGTCCTATTTGTGAACGTGATAAACGTTGCATTTCCATACATCGATGAAAAGCATTGAGCGTCATGGATGAGTCGATGCATCCTTCACGCAACGAGCGTCAGCGGCGACTTATGTTGATATGTGTCTCCGCAGTTACGACAGGTCTTGGAGGTATGTGCAAGCCATAAATTGTATCGGAATAACCACTCACAATTTGCAGTATCATGTGTCGTTCTGCGTGTATACACGCGCAAATTTATTATTCGAAGTATGGGCCTAGAAGACTGGACCATGATTGTGGCCACTGTATGTTGCTTAGAAAGCCATCATAAGAAGCTGCCTAATACGTACTAGTTACTCACCTTGGTACACCTTTCTGAAGCCTTAGTTGGCGCGCTGGAGTTCAACATGGGTTTCAAGGCGTCGAAAATGTCTCTGAAACAGGTAGGCAGCAACATCAAGGTATGCTCATCTCAGTTCTTAATCGAACCAGGCTAATACATACAGCTCATTGTCGCCATGCTCGTTGGTTACTGTGCAATTGTGACCTTGATCAAGATCTCAATACTCTTGGTCTACCGCAGATTAGGTTGGTATAGCCGGCAACATACATCCAACCAAGCTGACAAGTCGTAGCCTACAACAAACGGTTTGAAGATTTTTGCAAGCGAACCATTGTTGTTCTTGCCACATACCAAGTCATTTTCACGATTGTGGCAGCTGCCCAATGTGTACCGTTGCACAAGCTTTGGGACTTCACCAACTCTGTCCCAGGCTTCTGCATCAACATTAATGCTTTCTATCATGGTATGACTCTATTCTTCAAATTACAGTCAAGTTTTTGTTGGTCTTGTTACTAAAAGGCTACAGCGTCGTCTTCTTTCCATATACTAATCGACATATGGATCCTCACTCTGCCTATCCAACTCATCCGGCGCATACCCCGCAAACCACGCGAAAAACTCGCATTATACATTAATCTCGGGCTTGGAGTTGTTAGTATGACAGCATCCATCACCAGGTTCCGATTTCTCTACGTCTTCACCACTTCGAACGACCCTATTTACGGCTTCGTCCCTGTCAATACATGGTCCATGGTCGAAGTCAACGTCGGCATCTTGTGTGCAACCCTACCGATATTGAGGCCTCTTGCGATCAAAGTGAGGCACTATAGCAATAATAGCTCGCTCAATTTGTTCAGAAGCAATAGCGCGCTCAGTAACCGGCTCAGGACCAGTAGCTCGCTTAGTGGGCGTGGGACTAGCAGGACAACTGTTACAATTGGGCGTGGAGATGGTAAGTCTCCGTCCATAAATACAGGCTTAAGCACGCCAGTTTCTCTACGTCCTCTGAGCCCAGAGGGTGTCAGAAATATCTTACATAACGAAGGATGGAGAGTGAACAATCAGTCGCCGCCACCAGTGCCGCCAAAGGACGCTGTGTTTGACTGGCGGCGTGGTGAAGTGCCCCAACGTCCAGCCGTGGTTCACATGAACTATAGAAATCCGAGGGATATCATTTTTGAAGAGGACGACAAATATTTCAAAATATAAATACGATGTTACGATTAATCTTGCTGCCCAGCGCCTCACGTGATTTCTATGCCTATTTAAGCACGATGAGCCTGTAACTACCATTTCTGGCTCAAGTATCTGCTATTTGTTTCGGAAGAAGAAGTGCAAAGATTAAACTAAAGATCGCGACACCGTCAAGGTAACAATTACGCACTCACTGTTGACTCCAAGACTGCGCGCAAACGAAAACTTCAATACGTCACAGCGTCCTGAACAAGACGCAGTATGATCACATCCCGATCATCTCATATTTTTAGCTAGCGATACTTTCTTCCTGTGTGAAGTTGTGATAGTTTTGCAACAAGCCGCGCGCTCCGGCCCCCAGACAACGAGCCTAGGGGACCCGAGTACCGCCACAAGCAGCGCTACACCTAATCGGTGCACTAACATAGCTTCATCCCAAGTGTTGATTGGGTCATGACCTCAATATGCGACATCCTGCAGCGCTATTAAGCCTCATGTTTGCTTTACTCTGTTCCGTGGTACAACCGATTGGGCGATGAGAGGAGCAGAGTTGCTGTATCATGTACGTCCGCGCGGCGTCCTCGTGGCTATGCCTTAAGGAATCGCTGTTGCCTAGGGGATTGCCTCAGTCTTATACATGCCCAAAAGAACGCCTCTACTTCTCTACACTCTTCGTCTAAAATCCATACTTATCCTAAAAAGTCGACCCCAAGCCCAACCTTTGTAAATCATCAAAAGCCCAGCCTTGGGAATCAACATCATGTCTCCCATCCAGAGCAAGCTCGCCACCTACGAACTCCCCCTTCGTGTAGCGACTCTTCTCACAACCGCCCTTGCACTACCCCTTCTCATCGCCACAACAATCGTATCGCTTCACAGTTACTCCTGGTACTACCACCGTCCCGTGACAGCCTTTTGCTTCGGATTCATCCCGCTCGCCCTCACCGCTTTTGCATCAGCCAGAAGCCTCATACACCAAAGGAGACATGGACGTATGCCACAAGAAAGCTTCAAGCTCGTCGATGGCGTGGCAAGCATTGCGTACTTGAGTATCCTGACTGCTATTTGGGCAGTTGAAATTGGAAAATTGGAAAGGCCGGGATTTGGGCTCTTGGCTGGGTACACAACTGCGCCTATGATTGTCAATATGTAAGCTTTCTTTCCTTTTATGTTGAATACGAGCGAAAGGTTCAAGTGAATTGCAAGTGGCTGATTGTTCAAAAAAAAAGGTTCGTACACGGTTACATCTTCGCCTGTAATGTGCGATCAGTGGTCGCGCTTTTTGCGGCTCCACAAGTACATGAGTGCCCCAACTGCCATAGCAGCTTCACCACTCGCACACCACAGGTTCAGGAGACAAAGCAGAGTGGAGAGGGGTATAGTTTGTTGCGCGGTGAAGACTATCTCGATGTGGATGGTGATGCTGAGCACTACACCGATGGTAGCTCTGGCTCTACGGATGCGCAGATGCTACAGCCTGAGAGTGAGTCCAAGGACAAGAGCAAGGACGAGAGCAAGAAGGCCATTATCGATGTCTGAGCTTTCGGCTGTGGCCGGATTATCGGACGGTTTATTCTCAGTGAATACTAGTACTCGTACGGCTTTTCGAAATAAAGTTTCGGGGCGCTGTTCGAGAGTAGTAGGTAAGAAATGTTGTGTGATGGAATCAGCTGTCAACATAAGACTGAATGGGTTGCTTGCCAGACACAAGCTCAGTCTTGGAAAGTTGATGGGCAGTCTGAGAGGTTATGACGAAGGTGAATGAGAAAGATGGAACCGTATCGTGCGTTATAATTGACATGTACAAAAAGATATCGTATATACATCCCCATCCTCACCCATCCACTGGAACTCCCACGCCCAAGGTATCCTCTATAAACAAAGCCATATACTACATGCCATCACGCTTAATAGACAGCCTTGCAGCCTTTGGTTTCAGGAAAGGTCTCGTTTTGATCCCACTGTATAACTTTGTTAGCCCTCATCTCTCATCACCCATCGCGCACCGTTTACAACTTACGTGCTCAACAATACATCCACCTTCCCACCTAAATCGATCTACAATACCGCCAAGCGAAGAGTTGTATTCAACCCAGCTCATGGGTGAGATGAACGTATTGCGTTTGCCGGTTATGTTGGCTGTGCTCCAGACCGGGGAGAGAAGTTCCCATGCGGCGGCGGAGCCATTTGCTACTGATGGGTTATGGTTCTGTTGTCGGTCAAGTCAGTCAAACTACGACTCTCTTGGGTTGAAGATGGAGAACTAGGACAACGTACAATATAATCGACTGCGATAAACGAAAACGCCTTGCTGATATCCGGCTTGTAGATGAAGGCTTGCGCAAACTGCTCAGACCGCGCTTTCGTCTCCTGCACTGTGACCTTGCTATCACGCACACACGGTGCGGGCTTAACGGGAGCAGCCTGACGGGCCTCTAGTGTGGGAGCTGCAAGGGCAAGTGGAGCAACGAGTGCTGAGACGAAAAGTGAAACGCGCATCTTGAAAATCCTAGTCGATGGAGTGTTCGAAAATCCTAGTCGTTTGGAATGTTTATGAAAACCGATGATTTGTTTTTTGTGAGTATCCAGGTAGAGATGCACACAAGGGAAATCAAAATCTTATATCTCAACCGGCCTACTTACTTATCTCACTTCTCGCACAGCCCTAGCTTAGCCTGTTGCTGATTATTACTCTACAACACGTACATACGTACGTGCTCAAACCACGCCTCTTCTCCCAAATGAGAGTGAGAGAGCAGCGCCAGGGAACACCCCTCACCGCCCGTCCCTGCATCTGACATACGCGAGGGTCCCGCCGGCTTTATTCCGGAGCCCATCTCACCTACGATTCGCTGGCTCGTCATCTTTACGCGGCGAGCAGAAACAAATGGCTTGTACCTGCTAATCTCGTCCCATAAGTGTTTACGCGGGGCATTTTACACTTACCGAAACTTAGGGGCGCAGCCTGAGGCTAGGATTGAAACACACCAGTAAGATCAGCATCGCATGTTTCCGTACTTAGGTATTGGTGTGTCTATACGCTGAAGTCTGTGGTGGCTCAGCAGGCGAGTGACGTACCTTTTCCAAGTACACACACATATGTGTGCACGAACTTGGACTTATTTCGGACCAGCGCTGTCTTTACCCGTCTGATAACGAACCCAATCTGGGCATATACACACAATTCTGGGCTATGTCTGGGAATCGGAGTATGGAAACGGCAAATCGTTTGTTCGGTAAGCGGGCTCGGTAAGTGTATACGTGCGTTCTGGCGGCCATGCAAAAAAAACGGGCGCTAGCGAGTGAAGCACTGACAATCATTCTTGGGGGACTAAAACTGCCGGATGAAAAAAACTGACGCATGTATAAACCGTGGCGATTGCGCAGTAAATCCTATACTACATACTTCCTATACATTGTATACATATAAATAAATAAAATTCTATTCCACAAAAAAAAACCTCTAAACACTTGCAAAATCTGCAGTACATTTCAGAGCGATTTGTGCTCATGTCAAACATCCCCCCTCCACCCGCCCCCCCGAGAATGTAGCAGTGCAGTCTTATAACCTCCCTTCTATAGCCTCCCTCCCTTATTAAACCCTCTAACACCACCCCCAAACCAACCCCAAAAAAAACCCAACCAGACAAACATCCCCTTGAACACCCCCGAAACAAACCCCCTCCCTCGGAGCCATAACGCCGACGTATCTCCCTCCACCCTCAGTTACAAGAAAAAAAACCCCCAGACAAGTGGTACAGAGATACAAGCAATCCGCCAAGTCTATATAACCCCATCTTTATCCAAACCACGCCCCCCCTTCCTCCGGCACTTGTTCCTCTCCCCTCCGCCCTCCGCCCGCCC